AGCAGAGATATTACAGCTAGCGTTCCTGTACACATCATGCATTCGAAGCGATTCTCGCTCCCAATCTTCAGGATCATCTTGCACAATGCAGAGTGAATCGATCCAGACGTACTGGAAGCCTAGAGTCACTGTCGCGTATAGGGCGTCCTGGAATGTCTTGGAAAGCTTGTTCACCGGCAGCGATGTCTCGAACGAAAGCAGATTCACGCAGGTAGTTGTGAGAAACTTGACGTTACCCCAACAGTGGGAAAGAGTAAGGTATGGTGTTCCTGCAGGCAATGAATCGCCGCGACATACATTCGCCATCACTTCGCGGCTTGTACCAATGGGCCGGACGCAAATGAGCCTGGACGGCAACGGCCTACATCCTGTTTGCGGTGGGCATTCGGCATGCTCTGAACAGCATTCCTCAATCCATTTCTGAATTAGAGAAAACGTTTCCTGTGATTTTATCGCAGGATGTAGTTCAGTACGGATGGCGCTTGGCTGGCGTTCTGAGCTTATCAGTTGCGATACTTATAATGCGTAGGGATATTACCTGTGACATTCGAATCCAGTAAGAAAAACGTCAACGCGCGTTGAGAGGTGTCCTTTGTAGTGTAAACCAAGATAACCAGCTTCAACGGGTCTGGAGGTATACCGCCTGAGGCTTCCAGGGAGGGCTTCCAATAGTACATTGTATATCCAAGAGGCGTGAAAGCGCGTCGCCCAGACCGTCCGGACCAAGTATAAGCTCTCCAAGTCCAATTGCATATGTGACAACCTTGTTCTACTGCTTGAAAGAATGATTCGCTGTTATTATGATGTCTTTGGAGATCTTGGTCTTGGTCTTCTCCTGGTCCTTCATGGAAAACTTCTCGACACCTCTTACATAATTTGGTCTCCGACATTGCGCTAATAGCGTTTGCCATTACTCAAGAGATCGTTTCCACGGGTACTAGTGGGCGCATGTTCGAGAGCTTGACGGAACGATCGGCCGAATCTGTGTGGTCGCAAACTCGCACTGCAATTGTGCGCCTGGAGACAAGATGGCAAAGTTGACGATGCGCTCCAATCTCCTACCGCTTTGATCGTTGCACGGCAAATGAGGCCAAGGGTCAAAACACCGTAGAGCCTACGTTAACGTTAGGTTGCATACTTTGAACGTTTTTATCTCAATCTAGTCTGCAAACCTTTTTAGCGTTTCCTTGTATAGTGGTTGCGCGTGTGTCAGTTTCGGCTGGTGGCGCGCTGGAAGGCGATTTGGAGGAATGACGAGCAAAAGCGGGGCAAAGCCGATGACGTATCACGAAGAGGGCAGGTGGGGACCCTGGGACCCTCCCGCGCTGCCCAGGTGCGCTTCAGCACCTCACGTGCAAGTGGCCAAGGTTTCAAGGTTATTCCTCAGCGCACCTTCACATGCGAGGCATGCGAGGCAGGGGAAGAGGACGATGATGACGATGAGGTGGAAGTTGAAGAATGAGAACGCGGCATTCATGGATGAGGTGTGGATGCTTGACAGATTGGGTAGATTGGAAACTAATTGTTGTGTACAATCGAAATTTACAAGGGACGGCTATCTAGAGCTATATCGTGTATCATAAGTTCAACAACAAGGGCCTCGCCGCGATATTGTCTCTCATGAGAGCGATCGAGCTCATGAGCCTTAAAGCTCGACTTTACTCACTACTGCCATCAGTACGAGTCTCGCTGACTTGTCGTCAATGACATCCAGGCTCAGTGCATGTATACACTCACATATGGCCGCAATAAGCAAGAAGGCAGGAAATGCGAAGACTGCTTACGCGTCGGCATCTTGGGCCACCCAGGAAACGCCGACCGCAGTTGCTGCCACCATAGGTATCAATGCGACGATGCCAATGTAAAAGCCGCACCAGCCTGCGCGAATTACTGTGCATATCGGTAGTCTTGATGTACCCACTGATGGTCTGCCTGTATGGTGGTGGGTTTTTCGTATGTCCAAAAGATTCCTGAGAGGCTGTCTTTGTGGCGTGATGCCAAAATCGGGCTATCTTTCGTTGCGTGGTAAAGAAAGCGATAATGGAGTGAATGCGTAGATATAGCTTAGTGCGTTGGCTCGAGTTATGGCGCTGGCATAGATGTAGGTCAGGCTCGGCCCCGGTGCGACATGGCATGCGTAGCAATCTGAGTCGAAAGAGAAGTGTGTAGAATGCAGTCTCAGTCTAGTTCGTCCGCATCATTATCTTTCGTCTCCTTGTTCATCTTTCCAGGTTCGATACCGTGCATATCGTCTGCAACGTATTCCACATCTATTCGGACACGCACATCGACTTGATCAAGGATGTGGCCAGTTGTTGTGGTGCATAAACGGCGAAGAGTAACCTTGATACAAGCCTGTGCTGATTCCAGGGGGATGATTATGCGATCTGCAAGGCTGCTCCCTTCTGATTCCAATCGCGACGTTGAGCCATCATCGCCTTGCACTTCCACGCCTAGCAGTCGAATATCCTTTATGGAATCGCCCAGTATAATTACGGGAGAGACTCTTGAAGAGCTACTGGACGTCCTTATCATCAAACCAAAGCCGTGGGACGCGGTGCTGGCCATTGTGAAGATGCTTTCAGGTTTCCACTCGTTCGGGACATGAACGTAATTGCTATCCCAAGATGATACCATGAATGAAGAACTGTGGAACTCGAAACAGGCAAGCGCCCGGTCGGGACCCATGTGCTCGACTGGAGAGAGGAAAACGTCGGATACTATGAGAGCTTTGGGATCAAAGGCATCACTATTGAGGCTCCTCATATCTACCATAATAGGGGCTGTGTTGAGGCGAGCGTAATTGGATGTCGGAAGCAGCTCGAGAACGATCCCAAAGAGGTGGAATTTGTATCCTGTCAGGGTCAAAGGCAAAAGTGCGACCAATCCGTCCTTTTTTCCACTTGGCTTCCTTGAATAGCGGTTGGTGGTCAATGGAAGATACTGGAGGCCCGGTTTGTATCCAGTCTGAGGCACCTTCAACTGCACACCGCTTTTGACCAACTTCAGGGAGGGGTCGTTGAGTGCGTTCCACTGTGCGTCAACGACGCTGCCCATCCGAGAATATTCGATGTAATCAGGAAGGCACGTTGGCTGTTTCGCACACTCTTTACATGGAGTTCTCCTACAGAACTGCCTGGCTGAGTACGCGAGCAATGGTGCATGCTCTGGCACACCAGGGCCTTCCGCATCAGTTTTATCGTGAGTAGCGAAGAGGAACAGCGTATAGTCAGGTTCGCTCTCAAAGACTACTTGCTGTAACCTGCGAAATGCCCGACGTCCCCCTTCGCCGTAAAGTAATGGCATGTTCGCATCGAAGAGACCGAGCAGACAATAAGCCATATCTTCGGACTTAGTGACCCGTCGATGCGCAGCCCATGACATTTTCTCTGCAGCGAGATATCTGTCTTTCTGAACTGCCCAGACATTCTGAAGAGCAGCAAGGGCGATCCCAGTGATAGTTGCGATTTCTTCGGCTCGCGATGCCTTGGAGCCGATGAACGTCCAGTCGGCTGCGTAGAATTCGACGCTACACGGTGCCAGTAGTTCCTGTAAGGTCCAACCGCGGGTAAACCACAAGCTCTCTTTGAATGCTACATCCAATCCAGCCTGTCCGTTGGAAACGTCACTCAGATAAGCGTAACAAAACTGAGCCTCTTGATACCACCGAAACATTGAGTTGATCGCCTCTTGAAGCTCCGCAGAGCTGGATTTGTCGATGCAGCAATTGTCTATCCAAATCCAATCGAATCCGTCCCTAAGCGCGAGTGCGCAGGTCCCCTGCAGTTTAGGAAACCCACGTTTGGCTCGGGCTGGGTTGCTGGTGTCGCTGATAGGGACCTTCATCACATCCTCGAAGAGAATTTCCTCGTCTTCCCACCGGTGTGAGAGGATAACGTACTCAGGTGTTTCACCAATGAACGTCGTGAGCGTCAGGGTATACGTGTTGAGGAGCCTCATGTTTGCGCACTCGTCGTACTGTGCCCAGATGGTCAGGCACGACTACGATTTTTTTGCGTGATGCAAGGCTGAAAGACTCTCCAAGTATAAGCGGCAAGAGAGTAGTGGGAGACATGTGGGATCACGGCGGTCGCCTCAAACGTGCCAGAGTCGACATCATGCTCCAGGTCGTGCCACATGCATGCATGCGGGGTAAGATAAGGTAAAGCCTGCGCTCCAACTCGTGACTGTGCAAATCATCGATGCATACGTAGGTCTATGCCTACGGCGCTCTCAAGCTGCGGTGGTGGAGTGGTGATGAAATTGCGACAAAATGTGTAGACTTCTCGCCGTTGCAACTCGCAGTGAACGCGTTCGGGGAACAGCGCGCAAGATTGACGCGCTAATCTCTCACGTGACCTGCCCCAGCCCCAGCCTCTCCAATTCCACCCTAGTCTAGTCCTAGGTGCTGCCTCGACTGCGTAATTAACTGCGACAAGCCACAGCGTCGCTGCACGAATATTGTCATGACTTTAGCAATGCGTATCAGGAAGAGACTTCGATGACGCCTGAAGATGCGCAGCGGCGAGCGACGCGAACTACCCAGGCTGCCTCAGGTTTTCCCCGCCTCCCAATACTCACCGGCCGCGTTTCACAGCCTCAATGTGCCTGCGATACAGACACAAGACTTGAGCATGCGTCCACAAGCGGAACTTTGTGAATGCACGGATGACGTGGCGCAATTCTGGCCCCCAATTGATGCAGAAAAAGCTCCGCGTCGATGCAGAGCCGCGGCCCCTTCGGAAAATCGAAGGCTCGCTTCCTTCATCCCGTCTTATTCACGACGACGCGTTCCGAACCCTTAGCATCTACGCGTTTCTCGCCAGCTGCTCAAGAGCCAATATATTTCCAGGGCCCTGATGTCGGGCACGCTACGCACATCTACATTAATGGCCAACAACGGCGTCAACGCAGTCGAGATGGCGACTATCGCCGGGGCTCCAAAAGCTACCAAAACATCCGTTGCTGCAACTTCGAGGACGGTCACCCCAAGCCCAAACATGCTGAAAAGCGAAGAGCCACCGATTGGATCGTGGCTCTGTGCTAATGGTAGACGATGTTTTGTCCAAGTGCCATTTGCAGGTGTCGTTAATGTCGAGCAGGCAAATATCGCGACTATATCGAGGCCTTGAGCGGGTCCAATCCTGGCCTGAAGAAGGCCGATCCAAACAACAAGGATGAGCCACTGAAATATGGCAACGCGCTCGTCGCGCTTTTAGACGCTCCTCCTACTGGGGCATCTGGTTTCACAACGACTGAATTCAGAGGCGAGAAAGAGCTTGTTAAGCACTTTGAATCCGCGGGGCACAACCACAACCGTCGGCGCATTTATATCATGGAGGGTCTGGCACCTGATTTTGTCGCAGCCGTCGGCGGTCACTTTTTCATGGATCCTTCATTCTTCCAGCGGCAAGAGAGGACATGTGTCTGGAGTAACGACTTTACACCAGTGAGCGATGCGTTGCCCCAACCTAGCTTGCTTGACCCACGGCAAGCTTTCCAGCTCCAGTATTGCGAGTTGCGACAGTTCAACAAGGCGCTCGAGAACCGCTATTTCTTCTGCGAGCGAACGCGACGGCATGTGGGCATGACAGCATCCCGTCAGAAGGAGAACAGTACGATCGGAATACTACGTCGCAAAGTCGGGTGGTGGTCTCGCCAAACCGAGAACGGCGGCTGGGATGGTACGTCAATTTCACTCTCGATCCTGGGACCATTCTCTGGAAGCATATTGCCGCCTTAGAAGCCCGATTCCAGTCCCGGAGACCAAGGTAGTAAGGGAAGGTCTGATAGACATTAGCTGATTTACGTAGTGGTCATATTGTGTGATCCCCAGCTGCTTCATCTAAGTCCTCCGCCCAAAGAAGTCGATCCCGACGACAACACACTTCGTCCAATCGCCAATGTACGCGACGAACTTCAAAACACGCCGTTTCAGGAAGGCTATGTTGACTTCATCCCGCCCGTCCCTCATCATCAAATACATAGCAAGACGCAACATCCGCATACGTCAATGCTGCGCGACCTCCTCCACTACTACCAGCAACACTCTGATCTGTTCTCCGAAGACGAGTGGGCTACGCCCAATACATCAGCAATCTTCCTCAAGAAGATAGTCGCTGCGCACTACCTCCAGCTTGTCGATTACATCAAAGCAATGCTGCCTTCGTTGGAGCTTCGTCTAACTACCGCATGGGTTGAAGAGCAGGGTCAATGGAAGAGCTTGCAGACTATTTCACGTCGGTGCGGCAACTATCGCGACGATCTTGAAGATGCATTACTCAGTCTCGACTATTCGCTAGATGGGCAGATCAACAAGTCCGTCAGGTTGCATGCGCACACGTGGAAGGACTGCGAGAAGGATTTCCAATACGTCTACTTCCGTCTCAAGATCCTTAAAGAAAGGGCCGATAATCTGATCCAAGCCATGACTGGACTGGCATCGATCGCGGGTAATCGTCAGAACTTGGAGGAGGCCAAGCGCGTGAAACGACTCAATCTTCTCGCCCTGCTCTTTATTCCCTTGGCGTACACGAGCAGCTTGTTCAGTATGCAAGACAACTACGCACCGGTAAGATCACCATGAACATATTGTCAGTGAACGATTACTAACTTTTCATGCTCGTTCTCAGAACCGAAGTGAATTCTGGGTCTATTGGGTCAGCGCCATCGGAGTCGTCGCATTCACCGCTGTCATCACGTGGATCCTGGACAATGCTCTGAACGACGAAGCGCAGTGGACCTGGAAACCGATCACCTTCCTCAAATTCTGGGGCGTCAACGAGCAACAGCCCCAACCCGGAAAAGTGAAGAGAAAGATGACTAATCTCTACCGGCTATGATCATATGCACAGGGCTGTCTGCACTACCTGGCACGGCTTCAATACTTTCACCTCTGCAGATTGATTGTAATGTCTCGCTAAGATCGAGCTGCTTCCATGGGAAAGCTTCCATTGTCAAAGCACTTGGTGGGTGCTAGGCGCACTTTCGCGCTATTTCCCTTCGGTTCTCGGATCAGATGCATACGTTTGTTCTAGCATTCCTAGCCTTTCATCCTTCCTTCTTATTTTAATCTTACACCATATTGATACCTGACTAACAACGTCGTCATGAATGAAGTCTCGAGACCGTCTGCTCGCCTCTGCTGCATGTGCCACCGCAAAGCTACATGCATGTGCACGACATGCAAATGCAGTTATTATTGCTCGACAGAGTGTCTGCAGGACGACAAATCCGTTCATCAACTACTCTGCCGGGCTTATCGAAATTACAAGACACAGATCCCTCCTGAACCTGGACTGTTCAAGGCCATCTTCTTCAACGCCAGAAAGACCGCGCCCGAATGGGTATGGGTGAGGATGACGTCTCAGTCCGGCAATGAGGGGTTTGCCCTGCAATACCATCTGATGCCAGATGACCAGAGCAAGGGACTCGTCAACTGCGGGAACTCATCCTACAACTGCGTTTTGAAACGCTCGCACGATACTATCCACATGCTTGGCTGCCTTGAAGCCTGCCCAGCTTTACCAGATCAACTATGCCTGACTGGCGTCCGAAACAAGAGCATGGGAAATATTGCGCCCGAGCTACTAGGATGCTGCAAAGGTAGTATACTCTTCGTCGGCCATCGCGCACATCTCGACATGACAAGTTTACGGCATATCATCGACATGATGCACATGGAGTACGACAAATCACTCCGCCAACTTGGAGACAAAAGAAAAGGCTACATCCCTGGCGTCCGCATCAACTGCATCGGTGATCGGCTGATCAGTGATCGTCCGACACTCGAGGCTTGCAAAGTCACCGACGGCTTCTACGAAAAGGACGAGAATCTCCTCATGTGGATCGCGTCCAAACTCGGTATCGATCTTTTCGCTCGCACTATTCCCCCAGCGCTACCCTGGAGAAACCGTAGCGGTGGTTACAAAGGCTTGAACCATGCTTGGAACTTCGGCTTCGCTCAACTCAACCCTTCTGAGTGGGCGGCTAGCTTGGGTAGTGTCTACGTCGCGAGGAAAGACAAGAAGCCATTGTTTGTCGCTCACATTGCGGCTCTGATGGCATATCTATACTCCATCGGTAGTGGGCAAGTTCAAGAGATCCTAGACAGCAAGGAGCCGTGGAACCTAGCCCTCAAGTTCGACGAGGCTTTCGAGATGCACAATGACGTCTTACTTGAAAAAGCTTCTAGAGCGGGTTTCGAGCGGTTTTGGATCAAGTGGATGGAGGAAGAAGGGCGATGGAAGTATGGGGATGTCTCTTCACCGTATGCGGTCTAGTGCGTGAATGCGTTCATCGCGTCATGAAGCTTCTAAATCGCGTCTAGAAGCAGAACCAGTGTATTTGAGAAGTAAGATGTTGGTCGTTCCAGGATGCGAAAGAATCCGGCGTCCAGGTCCGTCGGACTGGTGCGAATGGTGTTCCGGTAAATGTGGCTGCACTAGAACTTCGCCCATAGTGTTCTGCCGCTCTACTTAATTAGCCAATATGCATAGGGCTCACTAGCGCGTATCTGCCATGATGCCTATAAAATGTACTGATGTGCATCGTGAGCATAGGCAGTATCTTGGGAATCTCAGTCCAAAAAATGCAGCTTCTCCACCTCCTCCCCTTCCTGGGCGTCGCCCTCGCAACCCCATTGCATCCACCTGCACCTCCGCCTCCACCTTCACATGCACCCGCACCCGCACCACCTCTTCCTCCTCTCCATCCCTATCCCCACGCTCCCAAGTCCAACATCAAATGCCCCCTAATCTTCGACGGCCGCATCACCAAAAACCTAACCCTCCAATCCTTCGACACACCCACCGGCTCCACCCCCTACAACCCCGACTACGTAAAAGGCGAAAACCGCACCTGGTCATCAATTCTCCTCTTCCCCAAGACCACACCTCCATCGCGCTTCGACAACCCGCTTCAGCACAAACCAATCGAAGTAACAATCGACTCCGGCTCCCTCTTCCGCGCAGGCGAAAACCTGCAAACGGGGTTCCGCCGCGCCGGCCTCCTTCTCAAAAACGATCTTAACGATGCCGGGGCTGATGCCTCGGATAAAGGCGTTGTGACGTTCCATTGGAGTATCCGGCAGGATGAACACAGGCCGTTGAATCTGAGTCATGAGTATATGAACGTGTGGCATGAGAAGGGTGACTATAGCGGCAATCAGTTTATGTTCGTCGGAGGTGTTGTGTTGGTTGGCGATGGCGGGACAGGGCTAGATACGAAGAAAGAGAGGGAGATGTGGAAGGTGCAGAATGCGAAGAATGAGTTTGTGTTTCAGACGAGGATAGTGAGGGGGGAGTGGCAGAATTTTGGGGTGCAGTTGGATTATGTTAGGGAGTAAGTACTTTGAGTGTTCTGGGGTGTGGTGGGTGGTGTATGCTGACGAGGTGATTAGTACGATTAAGGTTTATTACTCTGTGGGCGATAAGCCGTTGAAGGCGGTTACGAAGGCTACGCCTAATAGTAATGCTGGTGGTGGGCAGTTGCAAGTTGGGATTGCGAAGAAGCCGACTGAGACTGAGACGGTGGTGTTTGATGGGTATCAAGAGCACATTCCACTCCGCGGTGAAGGACAAATCTACGGTGGCATCTTTGTAGAAGATAGCTCGAGTGGGTGTGTCAGTCTTTGAGTCCAGTCAGAGAACGGTGTATGGGTGCACACTCGCGGACAATATAGATTGCGGATTCGTAGACTGTAAAGTCAAATTTGTTTCATCAAGTATGCGTCATGACTAATATAGTCAATACCTACACAATCTAGCTATCTAACCCAGGTCCCTAGACTATGTAAGGAGAAGTAATAAATCCATACTTCGCGTGTCCACCGTTATGCATGAAGTTGAGGTAGAAGTCTGCAAAGCCCTGTTTCGACGCACGAGACAGCAATTGCTGTGAACTTGCTTGCTGAACGATGTCGATAAATGGAGTCAAGTCTTGATTAGGGCTATGAGGTCCCCCGGGCAGATTGGATAGTTGTGCGGAACTGAAGCTTTCGCGGAGACAGTACTCGCGTAGTGCGTCTATATGGGCGCAATGAAGCGGCTTGAGGTCTCTGCGGATGATCATAATCGAGCCTGTTATCATCCGCCACTGCGCCGGGTTGAGTATCCGCGCGTCGAAACTGAGTGAGTATGGGATAATCGTGTCGCCATAAAGACGACGATTCCTCCACGGTACAGCTGGCTCGATAAGGTGTACCTCTAACGGGATACCGATCTTCTCACCTACAGGGATCTTGAAGATGCGATCAGTGTCGAAGAAGGTGTGGTGGAGTGTATTGATCGGTTCGTAATTTGGTCGCTTGCTGATGACAGTGTCGCCGAGGCAGTTTACACGAACGCCTTTTATGGGACCTGGTATCCGCCTCTCGGCCTCGATCCTGGCATCGTACCAATACGAGCGCAGATCGTCGACTATGTGCCGGAAGGATATCATGTCGAGGTGGTATCGCAGACCGCAGAATAGCAATGGTCCTTTGTAGCCACCCACTAACTCTGGATCAATGCTTCCAACGCTACCAGTCGGTCTCCCTGCGAATCTCATCTCGCCGTTTGCGTCGGCAGCGAGAACTCCAACTTGGCTGATTGGTTCGTGGGGACGCTGGAGAACCCGGTTTTCGTCGTTACCGCCTGTTGACTGTGGCGATCCGTGGACCTGGGACCGTGGTGGAAATGGCACGCTGTTGCAGTGGATGGTCATCGCCTGATCAGGCTGATTGCAGTCTTCGATGCGTAGCCATACAAAGACAGGCCCCGGTCCATCCTCTGAGAAGAATATTGCGCGAAAGTGTTCTGAAGAGGGAGCCAAGCTCTGGTGGAAGTCCTTGTACGATTCGCACAGAAGCTTGTGAGTTGGCCCGTCATCCTCTTGACAAGCTTCCGAACAGTATCGGCTACAGTCGCACTCAGGGCAAACTATCGTGCCGGGCTGCGGACACATCGAACATAGCGTTGAGCTTGTTGAAGCTTGAGTGGTGGATGAATTTGCCATTGAATCGTAAACTGACGGCCCTGGGTAAAGATTGATGGTGGTTGAGGTCTGTTAGATCTTGTAGAGGCAACAGATGAATCGTGCATTTGGTGGGATATTTGTAGGTCTGTGAGACAACTAGCAAGACAATCGTAGAACGCACGAGACGTATCATGAGACAACGTTTGCTGAGCGTGATGTTGTGCCTGGGCAACTGATAGTAGAATGGATGTTCGTAGAAAAAGGGAATGAGACGGCAGATAGGGTAGTGGAAAACGCTGTGAGAATAGGAATGAAGGTATCGTGATTTGGTATATACAGAAGAAGAAGTCGAAAAGGAAACCGTTACCAGCATTAAGCAACTCAATGCACCATACTCTTTCCAATCTCACTCTCCCAGTTATTCGCCCTCTCGAAACCATTCGAGTGGCTCTGGTAGTCCATCATTGCCTGCATGACCTCATCTCTTGACGTGACAACGAAGGGCCCGTATTGTACGATGGGCTGATCGAGCGGCAGACCAGCGACAAGGATGAACCTCGACGGTTTGTCGGCACCTTCCTCCACAGAAGCTTCGATGCTGTCGCCGTTGCTCTCGAAAACAACGTTGTGGTATTGTTCGATGGGCCGCGATACGCCGTCAGAAGAGAAGATAGTGGTGCCGTTGAGGAGGTATGCGAAGGCGTTCCAGCCCTTTGGTAGGGGCTGCCTAACTTTGCCGCCGGGCTGGACTGTGAAGTCGAGCAGCCAGACAGGTGTGTATGCCAGTTCCTTCAGGCTCTCGGTGCCGTACGCTTGTCCACTGATGACTTTGACGTGCACCTTGCCGTTATCCGCGGTCGTCTCGGGGATCTCCTTCGCTCGTAGGTCTCGGTAGCGGGGTTCGCATGACTTCAGCTCCTTGGGCAGATCGACCCAGAGTTGCATTCCGACGTTGGGCGCGCCGTCCTCGTTTTGGCGCGGCATCTCGGCGTGGACGATGCCGCGACCGGCAGTCATGAATTGTAGGTCGCCCTGCTCGATGGTGCCCTTGTTTCCGGCGAAGTCTTCGTGGTCGACGGCGCCGGAGAGGAGGTATGTGATGGTTTCTTGGCCTGCAATAAAAAGTCAGTATGTAGATCCTAAGTACTCCGTCGTGCTCATCACGTACCTCGGTGTGGGTGGTCAGGGAAGCCTGCGCCTGGTGGAATGGCAAAGTGGTCGAGCATGAGGAAGGGAGAGAAGTTGCGGAGTTTTGGGGTGCCAACACTCCTCCTCACTTTCGCTCCCGCGCCTTCAGATTGCTCGACAGCAAGAAACGACTTTGCGATCTTGCGGGGCGCATCGGTGGTGAACTTCTCGTCGGGGATGACGGGCAGTCCGCGGAACATGGTCGACATATCTTCGGTGGCGTTGTAGAAGGGCTTGGTGGTCTTTGCGAGGGATGTGACGTGTCTCAGTGACTGTGTAAGTCTCGAGAGCATGTACTCGTTGTTGTATACGGCAAGTGCAATTGCGATGAGGGCGATGAAGAGGGAGGAAAGCGTCTTCATGGGTCGGGCGGGGGCGCTTTATGCAAAACGCGACTAGGGTGACGAGAATGTTCGAGCGAGGCTTCGGGGCGGTCTGGTGTGGGTGCCATCGTGAGCTTGCTTGGTTGGTAAAGGTTTAACAATCCGGCGCGTGTTAACCTGAGGCTTGGCGGAGAGTGCGCTGCTTATGTCGAGCATGACCAAGCAACACTAATGCGAAGGTGGGGCGGTTGACGGAAGGTGGAGCTTCCGGTGGCCAATCAGACAAGAGTCGATGACGGAATGTCTTCCGTCATCTCTCGCGTCTCGACACCCAGCATTCCTTTGAGTCTACTCATCGCGTCGCATTGCTGTCCCGTTCTACCATGTTCTTACTCCCCATACTCAAGGTCGTTAAGATACGTGTAGACACGTCGATGATGTTCTCCCACACCCAATACCCGGCACCGTCGCGTATCACGGTATTCCGGTGACATCTAGCCACGACGGCGGGTTCAAGAATCCCATGTCTTGTATCAGCTTTCCTATTCTCTAGGGTTCGTGAATTTCATTCTCCTTCGACATGATGTCCTCACTCTTCCTTCGCTTTCATGTCAAGCGTCTGAGCTCTTCGGCCCGCTTCTTATGGAGCTTCTGGTACGTGCAAACGCTCGTACCCTGCAAACACCTGCAAATATTCCCTTGGGAACGTCGCAATGTCGCACAAATGTCACCTTTGTAGATTGCAAAGGGCGTTCTACCACTAATCTAGTTGCTCGCACACATTCCGACACTGTTCCCAGACGCGTACACTCCTACAGCTTCCATGCCCAATTCCAGGTTCAAAGCGACGGACATACGCAGATACCTCCTCGTCAGGGCTCAGCACGAAGAGCGTAGCGAGGATTTTGAAGACGAAGACTGCTCCAGTGTATCTCAGACATCTACTGTGGCCTATGGTCAAGAGTCCTTTGAATTCTTCAGTACAAGAGTCGCGAAGCTTTGCGCCACTCAATTTCCCAGAGCAACCTATCGAATCGAGCATCTGCGCGGTGGAAGTTATAACCGAATCACCGCTATCACTGTCACGCCTTTACCTCCCCGCGCTTTTAGCGTCCCGTGGATCCGTTCGATCCTGACCAGTGACGAAGATTACGTCAAAGCTTACCAGCCAAAGCAATACATACTCAGGACCGCACGAAGAGAGCCTTCAGGCAATAACTTAGACATAAGGTATAATGTAGCTACCCTAGTGTTCGCGTGCGCGAATTTCAGCATTATCGTACCTCACGTCATACATCTAGATAAGCACCCGCATAATCCTCTGTCACGGACATATACCATTCAGAGCCGTCTGTCCGGCCAAAATCTCAACAAGATATAGCCTGAACTTACAATCAGCCAAAAGATAAACGCTATGCACATCGTTGTCCGTGTTATGGAGAAATTGCATACTATTCAGCAACCCAAGGCAGGTATCATCGCCAGTCTAACAAGACTACCACATTCTCCCAACAAGGTGACACCAGAAATTCAAGCCTTCAAAACCAGTCAAGACCTGGCATCAGCTTTCTCAGGACCCACGGACCGCCCCGCTGAGGCTATGACTACACGCCAGTTCTTGATACATCAGAGCTATAGATGGAAGATACTAGAGGAAGACCGTGACGACGGCGACAAAGCTCCTTGGTATTGCTTCGATATTATCACACAGGCATTATACGACAAAGACTTCATCCCGGATGATGACAAGTTTTACTTCTGCCATCTCGACCTCTATCCACGAAACATGCTCGTAGAGATTGAAGATGATTCCAAGCTCTCACTCACCGGACTGCTGGACTGGGATGCCCAGTTCGCATACTTTTGCCCCAAGTTCGTCGCTTATCGTGCGCCGTTCTGGCTGTGGGTATCAGGTGGCCACGAGTACAATGAAATGATAGCTGCAGACGAGCCAAAAGACGCTGATCACCGGCGATTGAAGAGCTTGTGGGAAGAAGCGGTGAGTGTCGAGTGGAAGCGGTACGCCTACGAACCGGAGTATATGATCGCGAGGAGAATGTTTGCTCTGCTCCGAGATGGCATTCGTCATGATGGAGACAAAGAGGAAGCCAGGTCTATTGTCGATGAGTGGCAGAAGCTGCATTACGATCAGAGGCTTGCCACAGCGTACGCGAGTGACGAGAGCGATGGTGCCGAGGCAAATATGGACGTTGGGGACCAAGATGAAGGCATATACACGTTGGCTCAACAAGACCTTGAGCTCGACGATGTGCGGGACGAGGATGACGGGGCTATCGACTCGCATGACTAAGGGCTGCAATACAGTATGGTGGTGGTTGAAGAAGACATGCGATATGTCAGTCTGCACTCAATAGCACATCTTGATCTTGGCAGAATACCTCTTGTTATGCATGATGCGTCCCGTAGATGATGTGTCGCATGGCCAATCACAAGCTCACAGCAAGAGTGGGGTGAAGAGCTTCGCAATCCCACTTGCCCCATCTTCGACAACATCACCGCTGTTATCGATAGCGCAACACTTTTGAGGGGTAACCGACATACTGGGATATGATAATGACGGAAAGCGGAAGTAATGATCAATCGTGGTATAATTGCAGGCGACACGTCTCGATAGCTCGCTGCTGTTTCCTAGAATCCACACCCAACGTGACCAGGTACCCGAGTATTATCACATTCCAACCACTTGGTCACTTCAATCACACCCTTTACCTCGATACCACATTGGACTTGACTGAGAAAGCCCACCATGCCAAACGCCGGTGAAGCGCCTCCCATCCTAGACTTCTCAAGTACGTTTACCTGCTAAACAGCCTTAGCAGTCGAAACCTTGCTGACGAGGCCTAGAGTTCTACCAAAACGACCCAGCCTCCAAGAAAAAGCTCGTAGACGAAGTGCGAAATTGTTGCCTGCACAATGGCTTCTTCCAGATCACGGGTCACAACGTGCCAATCGAGCTGCAAAACAGGATGATGGACTGGAACAAAAAGTTCTTCGATCTACCACTGGAAGAGAAGAACAAGGTGAACAAAGGTACGTTCAGTACCACCATCATGCAATAGCTTCTTGGCACATCAGCTCATCCTCATTTCCACCCAGACACAACCAACACCTGGAACCGCGGCTACGAGCTCCTCAAGTCCCAAATCCTCGAAGCCGGCACCTCGCCCGAACTAAAAGAAGGCTTCTACATCGGCGACGAAATCCCAAAAACACACCCTTACTTCCTCAACAAGAAGCTCAACTCCGGACCCAACATGTGGCCGTCCGCCGCCTCCCTCCCCTCGGTCCAAGACTTCAAAGCCACATCCTTGGAATACTACGCCGCCGTCGTCTCCCTCGCAAAAGACATCCTCAAAGTCCTCGCCTTGACACTCGATTTGGAAGAAACCTACTTCAACGCCTTCGCCACAGGCGCAGTAGCAACAATGCGCCTCCTGCACTACCCGCCCCAGCCCCCCTCTAGCCCCACACACCTCACCCGCGGAATAGGCGCGCACACAGATTTCGGTTGCATAACCCTCCTCCTCCAAGACACCGTCTCCGGGCTGCAAGTCTACGACCACGCCACGAAAGAATGGCTCGATGTGACTCCCACGCCTGGCGCTTTCGTCATCAACCTAGGTAATCTGATGATGCGGTGGAGTAACGACCGGTATGTGAGTAATCTGCATCGTGTTATCAATGTGAGTGGGCAGGAGAGGTATAGTATTCCGGTGTTTTTTAGCGGGAATCCGGAGTATGTGGTGGGTTGTTTACAGGAGGATACCTTCACAGAACTTTTATTTATCGCGCCTAGTATGCGCAGCACCTAAGTATCTTAGTACTAGACCTTATACTTAATAAACGCCTACAAATAGGCGTTACATTAATAGATCGCAGTACTAAAGTCCTTTAGCAAAAAATTAAAAATGTTAAAATATTAGCTAGAGGCTTAGCGCGCTAAGCCCTACAAAATTTATAACCTAACTAATTGTAAGCAGGCTGCAAGGGCCCTGCACCTTATACTTATCCTTATATACTTATATACTGTTGCTTGCAACACCAGATTAATGAATACAATTACGTGGTAGGTTGTTTGCCGAATTGTAGGGGGGAGGGGGAGAGGTGGGGAGAGATTACGGTTGAAGAGGCGATTTTGGGGGGGTATAGGGAGAGTTATGGGAGGGCGGAGGAGTGGAAGAGGGGTCAGGAGAAGACGAAGCAAGGGGAGAGCGCGAAGATGGATGTTGGGGCGAAGGAGGTGGTTGTTGCGTAGGTTTGGTGGAGAAGACGTGTGTCGTTACTGCAAGTAAATACGCGATGGTATGTTATACTTGTGGCTTCTCTTATTTGTGAGAGTATCTTCTTGTCTAAGTTGTTAATGTTGAAGAAGTTGTAAGTAGCTCGTTTCGCTCTGCGTCATCGCAGTACTACGGGATGAAGTGAGTGGCGAATGAAATAGGATGCGTGGTTACCTCGGCGATATCCACAAACACCGCATTAGATGCCAAATTAATGCTTGTTAATCGATCAATCATCGCCATTATACACAGAAGTCCACACGTGCCGTTCCGAGGTTCGCGCTGCATTCCATGTTAAGAAGTGACCGGCAGAATTCCGCCGGTAAAATCTGGCCGCGCTTTTGGCCCCCAAATGCTCACACGCGAGAGCGCCAACCTGTCTGATCGCTTCGCATTGGTTCACAACACCGTAAGGCGAATGTCTGGACCACATTTTGGATAGATCAGCCTCCAACCACCCTGTTATCGGTCTCTTAGCCGTGCTGTGGGCCCTCCGGCCTGCATGCTAGCGGCCTAATTATAGGCCGCGGATACAAGCGAGATGCTCTTGTACACTTTCTCCCTAGAAGCGCTCTATACTTAGACAGCTGCCTTTCCAAATGCTCAAAGACTGGTGTCTGGAGTCGGCACGTCATCTGCCAGGTAGCCCTAGGCCTGCCCCTTCGTGCTGGAGTAGGTCGTGGGCAGTTTGTGACTGGCTTGGTCGTATAGCCTTACACCTTTATCAAAGCAGCACATGCAGGAAGTTGCTGTGAAAGAGATGTTAGGAGTGTGAAAGAACTTTAGATTGCATATAACCATCATCGACATTATCTTTTGGGTATACTCGTCCGTGGGTCGAGCACGCGAAGGATGTTGCCGAGGTGCTGGTGACCGGTTGTTGTTGCCTCAACACCACAGGGAGTGTAGAAGCCTTCTGAAGTGGTATCGCGTCGGGCGGATGCTGATAGCACGCTAATTCCGCGAGGAGCCGTCTCTGGGGGATGTAATGATGATATCAGGAAGTCATCCACCACATCCGCAGGGAGATACCACACAGTTTCTCGTCGTCGCCATGATCGCCCAGCACATTGATCCAGATATGCTCACGAAGATGTGCCAATTCACTAGCACATACTATCGCCAACCATATCCCGCTCTTGAAGAAGTACAACAGACAGGCGCCGGCAAATACGTCCTCGTTACCGAAGCTTCGGAGGAAATCGGTAGAGCGATTGCTTCATCGTGGGCAAAGGCAGGAGCCGCGGGTATCGCCATCAGTAGTCGCAACGAAGACGATCTCGAGCCTTTCATCGTCAGACTGAAGCGACTCAACCCCACAACACAGGTCCTAGCCATGGCTTGCGACACCACAAAATCGGCCGAAGTCGCCAGACTCTTTGATGCGATAAGAGAACAGTTCGGTCAGCTGGATGTAGTCATCGCAAACGTCGGTACGGCACATCTCAGCAGGATAGATGAGACCGACGACAACGACGAGTGGTGGGCCGATATGACGACAAACTTCCGCAGCACACATCTTCCCGCCCACCAATACATCCGCACATTTGGCCCGGCACCAACCGGGACATTCATCTCCATCACGTCCGGTGCGGGTACGGTCGTGACACCTGGTCTCTCTTCCTATGGCATAGCGAAACAAACCGACCGCCGGCTCATCGAGTTCCTCAACGTCGAATATCCAGATATGAAGGCCTTTTCGCTAGATCCTGGGATTGTGAGGACAGAGAGGACGAGCGATATGTTCAGGCCCTTTGCGTTCGATAGTCCAGAGCTAGTCGGCATGTTCTCGGTTTGGCTAGGCGGCGGAAGAGCGGATAAGCTCAAGGGTAGCTATGTGCATACTACATGGGATATAGAAGAGTTAGAAAGAGAAGCAGACGATATAGTCGGGCGAGGTACGCTGAAAGACAAGTTTCCGGGGGGCTTGCTGGTACAAGAGGGTGTAACCTGGGGAACCCATATCCCTGGACCGGAAAGACATGTGTAACTCCTCATCGCGAGGAGATTAAGCATTCGGATGGATGGTCGATCCGAGAGTTGCCTCGGACAAGAAATGCGAAACCAATGTTGATGCCACCTTGGTGCTGCTGAAGCCGTGATGTCCCGATGTGTACAATAACCTCGAAGCTACAAATCAACAATGGTGTGTACTGGTCCGGCCAGACGCTTCTCAACCTCTTCCCATGATGCCATCCGCCGCTTGTCTCGACTCCATAGGGTACCACCTACTCCGTGGTTCCATATCCAGGCATCGCATAAAATGATGTCGTCCTCATCGCCGTAAAAGCTGACCGGTACATCAGCTTCCCAGATACGTACCGTATCTTGATCTGTCCAGTTCCGAGTCTTGTTTGGTGTCCTGTGGTTTGAGTTCACATCAACCAGAACGACGTCCAGGCTTTTCCCGTCGTATGATCTGAATATCGTATCGATGTCTTTCGCTGCTAGATTGACGGGTCGCATCATCACAAGCGTTTGCAAGGATGGGATCTTGAGACAGAATGCTATTTCTAGATCCGACATCTCTTGCGTAGTGATGGCAAGCCGTTTGAGATTGGGCGGTGGGTGTCGAAAGTAGTTGACCACATCGTAGCTGACAATGAGCTCTTCAAGGTGCAACATGTGTGAAAAGACCCTGTTCTCGGTGATATGCGGCCTGATTTGCTCAACCTCACTTGGTGGTGCATAAATCGGAGAGAGATCTAAAGCCAGTCTCTTGAGTGAAGTTCCTGTCAGACTACAAAGATCAATTATCTGTGGTAGTCGAACCAAAGGCGTGTAGTTGCCTTCGATGAGCCTGCGCACCTCGGTTGGTGAGATGAACATGGATGTTATATGGCGGAGTGCCTGGGCTTCCGCGAACAGTTCTTCGTTTCGCCCGGCTTCTCCATAGTTGAGAGCTTGTGGGTGATGCCCCAGGTTTAGTCCGAGTGTTCTGCGAAATCGCGCATAGGTCGTGCAACTGTCCAGATACAGACAATGCGAGTAAAGATACTGTGTTGCTATAAGATATGTATTGCGCGACACCAGGGTGAGTGCGCGCAACGTCTTGGTGATGATGTTTGACGGTGCATACGCTACAGGATGCTGGCCGTTGTGGGTACCCACAAGTTGATCGAGAACGTTGAGGAACAGCTCTAATGGCAAGCTCGCGAACCCTCGCGATGTGTTCTTCGGGAACTCAGCTCGTTCCATTAGTTCGCTAGCGATATTGAGTAGATGTGTGCAAGCTGGAGATGGCGAGAATAGATTTTGGTGATATTGTTGAGCCTCCTTGCGTCATCACCTTCCCCGCTCGCGGCCCGCACGCTAATCTTCATAAAGTCTAGCCTGGGAGCTAATCCCGGAATGTACGAACTCGGGAGCGACTTACGAGCTACGGCGGCGGCCGTGGCGTCCGTAGGCCCCGTGATCAATCTCTGGAGTAACACCGTTACCCAGCGAAACTCGGCCGACCCAAAACGAAGCGCATTCTAGGGTGCCGAGCCCTCATTCGGGGCAACAACACATCCGAGCCATTCGTAGGTGGAGGCGGAGAATCTGATACACCGCTCCGCCCACTCCAATGCAATATCCCCTCATCAATCGGCTTCGACTGACCAATTGCGTGTGTTTGTGCTCGTATACCTTTTGGGCCTCCTGACTGGTCGCGTCCCATGGTGTCTACTCAAATGCGTTCAAACCCACTACTCGGTCGATCTCATCCATGCTTTTGACCGGCAGCTCTGAGCGGATGCAACAAGTCTCTCATGGTGCGGATGCGAGCGTCTGTGAGGTATGCTACTTCCAAGGTGGCTCACGAAGTACCCTCCAGGACGTGCGTCACCATTGAATCGAACAACCGCCGCCAAAAATGAAGGGCCGTTCGCGACCTTGGCCCCCACATTCCGCAAGTGCTGGCGATATGTAAAAGGCCCACGCAGCGAGAGAATTGAGTGAACATATTGCAAGTTGGATCACAAGATCAGTTCTCTACTCGACCAAGATCTATACGGGCGGGAACTGCGAGCTCACTCGAACTTCATCAACATGCCACTTCAGCGGGGCGTCTTGGCCGCTCTCTTGGTGGTACTGGCCTACATCATCAAGGTAAAAGACTCATATCAAGCTCCTTTACGTCAAGACTAACAATGCGAAGATCGTATGGACAGGGCTCACAGGTCCACTGTCAAAGCTGCCAGGGCCGTGGTACACTAAGTACACCAACCTCGTCCTTCGTTACCAGACGGTTTCAGGCAAACGGATTTTCTACGTGGACAATCTTCACCAGCGCTATGGCGGCGTCGTACGAATATCGCCAAACGAGACAGCCGTATCAGATATAGCCGGTGTCAGTCAGATACACAAGATCGGTGCTGGATACCTGAAGTCGGACTTCTACTCGTCTCTCCTGCCAACTGATACACCCGGTATATTCCCGATGCGCGATCCACATGCCCACGCCGCAAGAAGAAGGCTGTTTGCCCGACCCTTCAGCAACACCAGCTTGAGCAGCAACTGGGACGTAGAGATTAGGACGAAAGCAAACCTAGCTGTCCAGAGAATTCGACACGACGCAATGGGTTCATCGCAAGGAGCCGATGTCCTCAAATGGTGGACGCTCATGGCGAATGATGTAATCGCTCACCTCAGCTTTGGAGAGAGCTCCGAAATGCTTGAGATGGGTAAGGTATGCAACTCAGCCTTCTTCAGTCTTGCTATGTATGCATTTTCTAATAACTGAGGTAGCAAACACCATACATCGATGCTATTCAGGCTGCGCTTATTTGCGGTATCATTCGGTCTGAAATTGGAACTACCCTGTGGAAACTTCTCAGTTGCCTCCCCATCAAACGGATAAAGTTTCTCTACTCGATCGATGATGTCCTCAACGAACACGGCGAGCGGGCGATACAGAAGATGCGCAGTGAGGGTGGCAATACCAAGAATCTCTTCAATCAAATGATAGCTGCTGGGGAAGACAATAAGACTGCCGCGCTTTCGAATAAACACATAAGGGAGGAAGCGGCCGGCTTCATTGTGGCCGGATCGGACACTACCGCGGTGACGCTCACGTATCTCGTCTGGGCGGTTCTCAAGCAGCCTGATCTGCAGTCTCGACTCGAGAACGAGATTGCAGAACTCAGCGAGGAGCTTACAAAGGAAGAGCTCGAGAACGCGCCTCTATTGAACAGCGTCATCGCAGAGACGTTGAGGCTTTACGGCGCTGCTCCTGGCGCCTTACCTCGGGTTGTACCGAAACAGGGCACTGTCATAGGCGGCCATCACATCCCCGGCGATACTGTGGTCAGCACTCAGGCTTACACAAACCATCGCGATCCCTCCGCTTTTCCCAATCCCCACGAATTTGACGGCCTTCGCTTTTTGGACAAGAGCACGATGTCAGCACATCAGAAAGCGTCATACATGCCCTTTGGAGGTGGTTCGAGGGTATGTGTTGGCATACATCTGGCGTACATGGAGCTCCGCTTAGGAGCTGCTCTCTTGTTCCGACATTGTCGCGGCGCCAGAATTGCCGACTCAATGAACGATGAGATGATGGAGATGGATAACAACTTCTTGATTGCCCCCAAGGGTCACCACTGCTACATCACCCTGAGATGAGGAACCTCAACTTCAGTAACCGGCTCGTGTTTCTGGTAGTTACGAAGTTCTTCGAGTCCACCCATTAACCTTTGCATAGAATGTTGCACGTGTGTAGGTAGGAAGTAAGAAAGTTATACGGTTGTTTGGAATTATATGCACAATGAAGTGAATTTCCCTTAATTCCACTCTGCTTCAAGATCACCAATCTTATCCTCCGGATACAAGGCATTCCATTCTTCTGCCAGCTGAAGCGCCAGATGCCGACGATCGCCCAGCAATCCACTGTTGACTACCCTAAACAGCTTTCTCGCGATGGCACTCTCGCGCGAAAGACCAAATACGATGAATTCTTCTGACGCTGCGCCCCTAAAAGCCTGCTTCAACGTCTTGAACTTTCCCTCAGGCGGCTCGTACGTTGCCAAGTCTTCGTCTCTCTCGTCCATCGAGTGACCTACCCACGCCCAGAACGGGGGCCGGAGGGCCACAAACTTGGGTGCGAAGCAAGCCATATCCCAGTCTACGATACCTGTGATCTCCACAGTCTCTGGGCCTGTGATCTTGGCGAGTATGTTACGGGGAAACAAGTCGCCATGCGTAAGATGGAAGCGCTGCCCTAGCCATCCGCGCCGATCCAGAGCTTTCGCAACGGCGATCGTGATTCGCCACAGGTTTTTGTTTCGACTTGCACGTCCAATCTCTTCTTCGTACTTCTGCCAGCGCTGGCAATGATCAATCAGATACCCAAAAGGTGTTTGAGATGGCGCTGGACTCTGGCTGGGCTGAGCGAAGTGTGGTCGTTTCTTCGCTTCTCGGTTTGTCGGAACGGGGAATTGATCCAGTGCTATAGCCGAGTTTCTGGAGGTGGTCAAGTTACTCAGGGAGATGAACCCAGCCGCGGGCGTCGTGACGGCTGCAATCTTTTCCACTGTTTGGGTAATCTGCTGGATGGCCGACGCTTTCTGTTGTGGATTTAGCTCTAGCCACAATGCATGTAAGTTTTTACCAGGTAGTAAAGTCTGCAGGGTATATGGCCGTCCCAAGGCATTTGTCGGACCAAGATCGTACTTCTCAATCTTGGGTATGGGTAGCCCTAGGCAGGAGCTGAGAATGCGTTGTGTAACAATGTCGCCAGCAACGTCGCTCACAGGAGGACCGTCCATGTCTCCATTCTTGTCCCGTGGAATTCTCAAAGCAAACCTACGGGTTCGTGGAGGCATACCAAGAAGCCTTGACACTCTAGCGCCAATTCCGACCCCGGAGTCACGTCGCTGCGCCTCGTGTTGCAATGTGACAGCTACGACGATGTTGAAAGAGCCCATTCCAAGCACTTGAAGTGAAGACTCTTCGATCTCGCTCTCAGGGAACAGATCGGCAACGAGTTGAAGAATTCGGAACTTCAATCTCAAGACTGTTTCTCTCCCTTCCAGAAAGCCTACGCCACCCTCAGTGAAGATATTTTCGTCGTCGAACAAGCGCCGTAAGGGGTTCTCACTCTCATATCCAGAAGTTGTCAGCTTATCGTTGCTCGGGATGCGATCTGGGAGGTATCCTCTAGCCGCTTCAATGCAGGCGATGTCAACTTTGCCAAGTCCATGAAATGGAATATTGAGATGCGCCATCAAGTGCGGCCTTGATGGTTATGTGAACTTCACTTTTCTTGTTTCCGTTACTGACGAGCCCAGAAAGGGAAGTTACGCGGATAATTTTGTCGATATTGAACTGATTTGTGCATTGTGAAATAGGTTTCAGCGATCGCTCGAATACGACAGTCGCTGTAAATGCACAACGTCTATCCAATAGTGTGATGGAAGTGAAACAGCTTTGCGCTGTGTAAGCGGCACAGCTTCTGAGAGGATAGCCAACACAATGAACACTATGAGGTTTGCGAAAACATGCCGTTGAAGGCTTTTGTCTGGCATTTCAATCACTCATGGGTTCATGCTAATAATCACTTCGAAGACGTTGACGTAAATTATGTAGCTTCGAATCCTTAAGAGATATGTCTTGATGGTAATTTGGTCGTATAGCTAACCAAGAGTGGATATTCGTATCTAGGGAGCTTAGCGAACCAATAAAGTACATTTAATTCGAAGCACCGATCATTTCACATGTCATGCAAGAGAAAACGCGAAAGCTTCAATACGAGGATGTAACTAAGTGATTCAGTATTGGCATTTCCTTCACATATCGAAAACATGTAACTGCTACTCCGTGACAATGGGCTCGTCTTCTTCTGCATCCGTTGTAGACTCAATGTCTTTACCAGGCTCATCGTCTTTTGTAGTCTCATCGTCCTCCGTAGTCTTATCGTCCTCCGTAATCTTATCGTCCTCTGTAGGCTCATCATCAGAGTCAGACTCAGACTCGGAGTCGGATTGCCAGTCATAACGGAACCGAACATTATCCTCAGGGTGGAGCTTATCCCACGCCTTGACAACGCTTATTGCCTCATCATTGTACCAAGGACTGTTCGCCCCCTTCTGCATGATATAGAACATACGTCTAGCAAGCATTGCCTCTGGTGCAAAGGCAAAGAACTTGTACTTCTCCGACGCATTGTCAAGGAAAACTTGCTTCAAGATCTTGTCCTCCTCAGTAACGGGCTCCACGTTGGCCACGCTTTCGTCATCTTCCTTAGCGCTAGGCATGTCTTCAGGAGTCCAAAGGGAAAACGGTGCTCTATAAGCCATGAACTCTGGCGCGATAATGGCCGTATCCCAGTCGATAACGCCTGTGACGACAGCCTCGGTGTCACTACGTACTTCGGCTAGGATGTTGTAACATTTGAGATCACCATGAACGAGTACACATGGCCCTTCGAGAAAGCCACGAGCCTCTAGAGCCTTCGTGATCCTCGCGAAGCTTATCCAGATGTCGTCGAAAGGAGCGTCCTCGGAGTTGTGGTATTCGCTCCACTGCTTGCATCGCCCAAGCATGTAGTCGAAAGGGTCATCGTTCAAAGCCGGCTCAGGCTTAAACCCCTCACGACTTGTTATATAAAACGTCTGGGTTAAGATCGGAGAAGTCGGAGGTTTGTTCAGGTTCTGAGAAGATATGTCGCCAATTGATCCTTCTACTGAGGCGATGGTGGGAGCGAGAGCGATGATCTCCTTGGCGAGGTGCTTCTTCTGCTCCATGTTGAGATTGTTCCAAAGGTTCGTCGCGAGAGTGCGACCAGGGAGATGGGTTTGGATCATGTATGGACGTTCGAAAATATTTGCAGTGGTAAGATCATAGCTCGCAACCTTGGGAATGGACAGAGGCAGCCGAGAGCCCGCTGCCTTCAGGATTGACACCTCCCTTTCCATGGCTTGGGCCATGGATTCGTCATTGTTGTATTCCATTCTCGGTACGCGCACGACGTACGACTCTGACTTCGTAGCCGCCTTCTTCTTGCGCGCGCGCAAGCAGGGAAACAGAAACCAGGCCAAGGTGAACCTTTTGGGCTTTTGCGCGATTGAGACGCCGATGACTCGGTTGTAAGACCCGCCCTTCATCTCGTAGACTGTGATGTCTCGCGGGTCTCGCCCGAATATCTTCGCGGCTAGTGCGGCGACTTTGTGTTGGATCGTCTCGAATGGCTCCTGGCCATAAATCATCGTGTTTGTTTCTGAGACTGCATCGTCTGCTACATCGTGATGCTGTTCATCATCAATGTCTTTTGGTTTGTCTTGGTCTTGCATGCAAGTGTCCTCGGCGGGGGCGTTGACAGAGTCTGGCGCATCCGAAATGCGTGTCGGCGGAGCCGCCGGGTTGGGGGAGCAAGTCGACATGATGCGACTTCTGAATACGGAGGAACGTTGCAGTGTAGGCGGAAGGATCTTTAAAAGGTGTCAGGGCGCATTGTTGTGCCGTAGCTCTTTGTTTGCTGGACGCCAAGCCTTGTCGGTGCACAAGGTCGTTTCCTTCTGAACCATCACTGCAGGAGCGGTGTGAATGCTCAATGTGATTCACTTTCTCCGAGTCAAGTCCCGTATTGTCGCAGTGGGTTTCTTGGAGTCTGCGTATATAATGCTCCATACGTGCAGCGCAACACTTGTAAGCAACCCGACAGTAATACAATCCACAAACAACCAAAGACTACACTAGAGTGACCCCTGTAACACTATCACCATGGGAAATTTTGGCGAATCGGATCAACCCAGATGTACGAAGCACACTAAGAAAACTATACATCACTGTCCTGGCGAAAACGGCTGGGTAGGCGAATGGAGCCCTAGTGGCTGCAACACAAAGTATCACGGGGACCTAGGGGGCATCTACTGCAAGAAGCACCAAATGCCGTGTCGTCAAGGCTGCGTCAACCAGTCTCACATGAAGAATCAGCCTGGCTGTCAATCATGTAAGGGCAAATGGGCGCGTGAAGCTAAGGCGGAACGGGAGGCAAAGGAAAACGTGAAGGTGAACGAAAAAGATAAACAATTTGAAGAATTCATGAACCCAGGTAGAACAAGAAAGAAGGAAAAGAAGTAAACGATGGAAAGAGGTACCTGCCATTAAGATGGAGTAGACGTATGGATGGATAGTTCACGGTTCGGAGTATATCGGAGGCAACGTTGAAGTGTCGGGTACATCCAAGGTATACCATGATACCTTACACTTCGCACTCTCCCCAGTATGACTTCTGATGTGAAATGATCTGTTCGTTATGAGATGATCGCGGAGCTAAGGAATCTCCCCACTTGCTGAACATCTCATCATGACACCTGTACGAGTGACACAACTTGCATTTGGCCCCGTAGAGGCCTCTTCCCCTACTGACTAGGCTCGATCCCGATGCTCTCTAAGACGGACCAGAACAACGGGAGGGTGATCACCCATGTCTCTCTTCTTGACGTCCACGATCCCAGACGCCTCCACGAAATCACGCAGGCGTTCGTAACCGTAGTTGCGTGCGTTGAGGTCGGGCGAGATCTTGCTGAGGTAGACGCCGACGTCGGCTAGATGAACCCAATTGTCAATGTCGCTCCTGCAACTATTCACGGCCCTGGACAAGCCCTCGACTGCTGACTGATCAAGAGGCCTTTTGCCCAGCCTGGGAATTGTGTTGACCACAGGGTGGGAACTGGCGAAGCCGAATGGCCGGTCTGTGAGGGCAGTTTCCTCGGGCGGCAAGTTGAGTACATCGAAGTAGGTAAACTTATCGCAAGCGGCAATGAACGCGTTGTTTGTCTTGCGTTCGCCAAACCCGAAAACGGTGACGCCCTGCTCCCGGATGCGGGATGCGAGCCGGGTGAAGTCGCTGTCGCTCGAGACGATACAGAAGCTGGAGAAACGACCAGTGTATAGTAGATCCATTGCGTCGATAATCATGGCGCCATCAGTTGCGTTCTTGCCCGTGGTGTACGCAAATTGCTGGATCGGTGTTATTGAATGATTGAGTAAGCACTCCTTCCATCCTTTGAGCGACGGAGAAGTCCAGTCGCCATAGATTCGCTTTACGCTGGCCGTGCCGTAGTTGGCTATCTCAGCCATTAAGCCGACAATGACCCTGGGTGAGACGTTGTCACCGTCTATCAACACCGCTAGACTGGCATCCTTCGAAGCCATTGCTGTTCTCTCAAAAACTTTGGCTAGTAAGCGCTGTTATGTATCAGGCAGAAGTGGTACTTGGGGGAAGCGTTGCTGAGATTATTACTACCCCGCGATACCATTCAGGCACAATACGCTAACCCCGGTGGGGAACAGGTACTCAGGCTTCAAGGCATCGACTTCAGCTGTGTGGTACCGCGTCGAACATGCTATTCAGTGATCCATGGTAGGGTCGACGTTGACTGAACTGTTGTTGTGATGCGCAGGATTGGGGCGAGTGCTGGGAATGGAAAGATCTGATGAAACGTGATGATTTGGTGAGGTCTTTCCGAGGTTGACAGGATCGCGCATCGCGCACCTGCCCAGGTGTTAAGGCCCGCTACCAGCCGTCAGCCAATCACATCGACGTCTGTGCAGACCAATCACATACGTCATCGACCTGTTGAATAATATCAGCGCAAAGACGCGTCGCGACAATGGTCACTACACGTTCTGCATCCCTCAATTCTGGTCCCGGTAGACCCCGTCGCTCTGTTCCTCGCTCTCAAGTTTCGGCAGGAGCCCAAGAAGTTCACAATCGTCGCGTACAATAGTCGCGTCGCTCCGTTCCTCAGTCTCAAGTTTCGGA